ATGTCCGGTCTCTGTATCAGGAAGGCGGCGGCAGATCCTTCTCTAGGGCCGTCTGCGAGTTTGCCTATCTCCACGGCAAGCGGCGAGCGCATGCCAATCTTAGGGATAACCGGTGGAAGTCGTACGGAATTCGAGAAGAGCACCGCATCTCTCTCGTAATGATGGAGGAGATTTACGAGCAGTGGTACGAATGGGACTTGTACGATGACTCCATTGACAATGTCGACTCTCCGCTTCCCTATTATATTGTCTCAACCCAGGATCTTCTCGGCTTCCTCTATGCCCAGATCAACAAATACTGCTTCCTCTTTGAATACACGCTCGCGCACACGGCTAGAACGTATTCGCTACCCGAGACGATGGTCATGGTCGTGGCATTGCGAGCGCTCCGATTCTGCTACGGCAGCAGTCTAATCCAGCGGGAATCTCTTTTATATAAGAATCGCTGGGAGCTGACCAGCGGGGAGAAGACCGTGGTCAGGGAAGGCCTTGGAATGAAGGAGACCATGCAGCGATGTGGCATTGGGTGGTTCTTACCAAAGGTTAACTGGGCAACCTGGCGGCTGGCATCACCACATGGGGATAACATGTTGGTTGGAAACTTGCTCATGCACAAGCAGTACAAGCGGAGGTGGCGGGCCGTAAAGGACCTCCGTGACGTCTATATCCGCTTTAACCAAGCCGAGGCCTGGTATGATTTGTATGGAGTCGACCAGAACCCAGGACTGCTGGGCAAGTGGCTTGAGTACCTCCACGCCCTTAACCTTGAGCAGTTTGACTCAGACGTCTGGAAGGCCATGCTAAAAGCCAACAAACGCCGCCCAGAGCTCACGCCGGAAGGGATCCAGCGCAACAGCCAAGTAGCGTTCTGCCACCAAGATATGAAAGAATTGTTTGTGGTGGATGGAATGGTTTGCTCACCCCACTTTGTAACCGGGAATAAGATGCGGTTTGAGAAGGTTGGTGATCTGCTAAAGTTTCTCTTCCTTTGGGACGAAGAAAAGCGGCTAGGCTGGGGCGATAAGCCCTATCGAACAATTTTACGGAAGAGCTTTGAGCTGATCGAACGACGGCTCGGCCGTAGAAGAGCGGACCGGTGGCTGAGTGAATTCCTGCATCTCGTCCGCCTAACGCACTGGATTCTCCCATATCCATCAAATGCCGCATTCATCACAGCAACAAAGACCAGTAACGGGCAAGGCCTAAAGGGACGAATGATGTGGTTCTCGGCCGTATACACTCACCCAAGCATAGTAGAGCTTCCATTTAAATCAGTGCCCAGCGCTCTCTACAAGGTTCTTTGGAACGCGCAGCGGCAGATATTGGGAAGTGGAAGTAGTGGAGAGAGGATGCTGTGGGGCACATCTCAACTTATTTCTGCATGCAGAGCGCAGGGAATCCTCATCCACGGTCTTGAGGAAGAGAGAGAGTACTGGGTAGTGGGAAAAAGGAGCGTTGGGCTGAAAGGGTTTCAGCCGTTATGGGAGAAGGGGCTGCCGCCAAAACTAAAGATGATGAAGAAGATTAGAGATAAGAGTCTTGACGAGTTGGACGAGCTAATGGTGGAGTTCACGCGCATCCAAGGTGAGGGGGATGAAAGTATTGGTAACCAGGGAGTGACCAATAATAATAATGAAGGTGAAGTTGGCGAAAGGTCGGACGTACGGCATAGGCGGAGCATAAGAGAAGTATTCATGCGTCATATTGGCTCCAATGGAGGCAGGAGTAGTCAGTCTAGTGAGAATATTGGAACGCCTACAGCGAGCGGGAGTGGTAGCGTTTTTATGCCCTCTGAAAGTGTTGATTAGTTAATTTTTAAGGACAAAGCTCTTATTACAGATATCTTACCTCAACTTTCCTATTGCTAGGCGCCTTCTGACGGGTCACTGGTCTTTCTAGGGAATAGGTAGTA